ATTTTAATGTCGAATGTCAGGTTTCGACCGATAAGATTTTTGACACTGATGACAGGGAAAGCCAGTTTTGATTCTTGAAAAGAATGGTTAAAGAAGTTATTAATGTTTGGGTAATGGGACATTTTGCATCGATAGAGTTACTTCTACTGAAGCAGCCACTAAAGTCATTCCTTGCTTTAATTCGAAGATTTTTCCCGTTCGGTTTACTTGAAGAAAGGTACAATGGTGGGGCCATTCTTACTTGAGTTTGAGACATCAGATTAAGGGAAAAGTTTCAAAAAGAAAACAGGAAACAAACGTGATATTAGGTTTCTCAATTTTCATCTCCTCTCGAGATGAAAACTTTAAAAAAGCGAAGATAAAAGATCAATTGATAGAGATCGCTTTTACGCCGGAGCGATTGAAGATCTTCCAAAATGCTTGTCAACGGAAGTTGGAACTCGGCAGCCGAACTGTTTATGCAAAGTGCACCTAACAAACCAAAACACAACGTATCAGAGTGAAAAATCTAGGCTTGGCAGGGTTTTTGAAAATGTGTTTCCTACATGAAATATGTATGATATGATCGTTATCAAGACACAATGAGATTGCCTCTGTGTTGACAGTGGCGAACGTTTCCCGTTGATTAATGAAAATCTCATTCGATTCAAATCACCGCTTTTTGTCTAGTTATTCTTTGCACTAATGTTTATGTATTCAACTGATTCTTTCCTATTAGAAACTAATGCGACAATGGTAAGGGGGAAAAATAAAATAAATAAATTGGGCCGAGACTGTGTTTTCATAGTTTTAATTCAAATCCCTGTACTTTACTGCCGCACCCTAGTCTCTGATATAAACAAATTAAAGATCATGCAAAAAAGTGCTGATACCGTCTCGATTATTGAAATAGCTCAAGAGTGGTCGGTTATTAAAAAGAAGAAAAACTTCCTTAAATAGAGTTTTCAATCGCTTTACTGATTCAATCCAGTCGATCCCAGAAGACTAGCTGTTCATATAAAATTTTCCAAATCCCTGATTCCTGTGGACTGTCCAAGATAGAGAAGGTGGGATTTTTTTTCAATTTTTTTTTCTCTCTTTCATTATCCTCGTTGTATTTTCCTTGATAAAATGAATGTCTGTCACTACAGCTGTCCCTTTAAAGATTTTGGACAATATAGACAGATCTTTCGATTCCTCATCTCCCTGCATTTTTAGTACTGAATATATATCTCAAATACATCACAAGTTTTCTCCACAAAACTTAAACTTAAGTTTCATAATAGACATCTTATCGATAAAGAAGGCATGAATTTAGTGAAAAATATTACCTCAATATAGGACTTTAAAATTGGAATATCTACATAACTGATTAAATGTTTTGCGAAGACATCTCGCGATATATTTTTTTGGAGATAGGTTTTTCAAAGCGCGATCACGATAAATTATTGACAAATTTATAGTTAGTTCGTACCTATGTTGTTTTATTTAAATCTCTGTCGATAGCTTAAGTCTTGCCATCGTCATATCGCAGCGAGACATTGGTAGGTAGAAAGAAACTTCATTTCAAAACCCAAACATGTTTCACAGGGCTAGTTTCATAACTTTTTTTTTCCATCGAGACTGCTTTGTCATATGTTGGCTTTTTTCGATTCTCTTCCAAAGTTCCCAAACATATCGTGATTTTATGGTGTAGACCCTTGAAAAAACAGCATGTAAAAGCCGAAGAGTTTTATCTCATAATTAAACCTCACTTGTTAACTTTATTCGTGTTTTATATGCATTGATCTGATTGCCAGAGAAACCCAGAGGATTATATTTTTGGGTTTTACGTATCTGATCCTCTTATGGTCTCTGAGAGGAAAGCTTAGGATCTCGCTGGCTTCCTGAGCGAGAATTTTTGTCACCTTATGTACTTATTTTCTTGGTTTGTTATTGTTATTTTCAAACAACTGTATATCTCGATACTGCTTTCCCTCCTAACCGTACCTTCTCTTTTCAAAACTATTGACAGGCATTGATTCACTAGACTCAGAAGAGAGGCTTTTTATCGTTTCATTTGGCAAACTCCAAAAAACGCACCCCTTCCGATTTCGTCGGAATTTACTTCACACTTAAAAATCGCTCGCACTAGACGCGGTGTCGATCTTAAAGTACTCAAGCAGGTTATCCATAAAGATTTTAATCCATATTTTGAATAGAAAACCCTGTTTAAATTTTGAGGTAATTTTTCAACACTATTAATTTCTCGTTAATTGTGTTCGACGGAACGTTTTTCTCCTTCTTTATTCATAGATACAATATTTAGCAAACGACGAAATCTACGGAGATATGGGCCATCTTGTTTTCTCCGGTATTCAGGATATGTATTTTCTTAAGTAAGAAACAGTTATCCCAGAAGTGTTACAACGAAAAATCCAGCATTAACAAGGTTATTACGTTTCATGCGACAAAATGGCAGATTTGTGTTTTTTTGAAGAGGAATAATTCTTCAATTTAACACTATTATAGATTCTTTGAGTGACTGCAAAACAAGATTCTAATTTGATTCACATACCTTTCGATGAATAAACTAAAATATCTTTATATCTCCATTAGTTGACACTATTTCACAAAGGTAAATCGTTTTAATAACATCTTCTTGAGAAGGTGGATTGATATTCAAAAAAATTTTATATTAAAGAGACTCTGTCTTCGAGGTGAGCTTCAGTTTTACCGGCAGGTTTTGTTGGTATAAACATTTACCCCTAAAATATTTCCAATACAGCCAGCATGCGTAATACTCTTACTGAACAAAGGTCGTGTACAGGTTAAATTTTAATGCTTAATCCTATGAAATCTGACACTAAATACAGTTAACGTGCAAGTCCAGTAAAAGCCACTGTCATTCTGAGCACGCAAGTTTATTTCTGACACGCAAACTGGTCGGTGCTGCCAACGAACCCATGCAGCGAAGAAATCTTTTTAATTAATTACGAAAAGCCGTTTGCGACGTAAACTGTGTTCTTTCATGTCTTAAAAGACTCTTTAATTTTCCATTTTCTCAGAGTGATGCCTCCGTTTTATTTTTATCACAAAGAAAACAGGGTCACTTTGATCTTTCAATTCATACGCAACTGACCGATGTAGTACATCTGCTTCCACGAAGTTTGTCACGTGGGCGGATCGCTCGCGCAGCTCCACAACGCGCGCGGGAGATTGGTCGAGCAGCCATGCATGTGAAACCAGTCCCATTATGTTATGTGGTTAATATGTTTTATAAATATAGGCAGAATATTTCAATTCCCCTCAGTTAATCGAATCTCGCCATATTTTAGACTGAACCACTCTGAACGCGAATATCACAAGGGCAAAACAAGAAGTCTCGACTATCTTTCCCATCGTCTACAACACGGTAAGCATTTGGATAAAGTTTTTGCTGTTTTTTCAATTTTTCTCGGACTTAAGATCGTCCAATTTATTTCCCTTTACATAGGCAAGTTTTGAATGCGTTCCTTGTTTATGAGATCACTTTTTCGTTTAGGTGACCTTTCAGGTCTTTTTCCGCAAATCAAAACTGTTCTCTGACACCTATCACCTTATTAAACTCGTAAGCGCAAACACTTGAATTTTGTATACCCAGGAGTCGGAGACATCAGCTTCAAAGATAAACTAAATCATTCACGAAACCTTCTAATCTTTCCTGAGGTGAGATTCTAGATTTCTGTTATGAAACTTAAGCTTAAATATCTACCTTTCAAATCTTAGATAAACCCAAAGGCCGCTCTTAGGATGTAGTTTGTTGTTTTAGTGTAATGACACCAAATTGCGCGGAATTTTTGCCGACTGTCCATGTGAAACATGGTTGAGAATTCTGGAAAGGAAAGAAAGAAATGTTTACGATATGAGAGAATGTACGTGGTGGGCAGAATTAGGAAATATATATTTAAGAGGCCTTTTCCTCTAACGGATAGGCGATGTTGCAGCTAAGAGCTGATACGAATTTCGTAACATTTATTTCGTCAACAAATGAGTATGGAGTAGACTGTAGTTTGAAGGAAGAAGGAGTAACTGTATTAGGGAGGATTATTTCCATCCTGCAAACAGAGATAACCTTAACATATTTTTAAATTCAATAATTTATGAAAGCTAAGAGTTATCGTATGTAGATGATTACGTCCTCTCAGTCAATTCTAAATTTCAATGGTCATCTCGTCGAATGCTAGCAAGATGCTTGATGAAGCGAGATATTGCGATGGTACAAGCTTGCTCGTTGTTCTCTTTCAAATGTGATCCCAGGTTATGTAGAAAAAGGGATGAAATCTGCTAGGCGTGTGGTTTTCAATTCATCATCTGCGTAATTCAAGGCCTGAAATCATTGTAAACGAACTAAAGGAAACTTTGTTTTAAAAAGACGCATCAGTAAGGCCTACGCATTGTAAATGGTTTAATTGTCGCGCGTAAAATTGCCATTTATCATAATTTTTTGCAATTGAAGAGAACTAGCGTAACATATCCCGTTTTAGGTTTTCGTGTAGGACATTTAGAACTTTCCAGAAGACACTAAACCCCGCCTTTTGCGGGATGTATAGCAACCAATTCACAAAATAACCCATTGGCGTCAAAAGTCTTGGTAGACGAGGCAGAAATTCAAACAATTTCTAATATACAACATATCAATGTCAAAATTAAGAGATCCCGTTACAAGCGCAGCTTTTGTTGAAAACGAAGTAAGGCGGCAGCGAAATTGAAGCGCAGATCAGTTTTTTTAATGCGTTCAGTTTTGGTAGTACGGTACTGCAGATGTTTGAAGCATGGCCGCCTTGGCTTTTTTGCTCAGTCTAAATACGGTGTTTACAAATTCCGCACACGCTCATTAATTTGTTATTATTCAGTTTTTTATTGAGGAACTTTTTTTTTCGCTCTAAGTCACCATAGGTGGGCGAATTTGTATACGGAAACAAGATTTGTGGCTCCGAACGAGCCAGATGGGATCAAAGAATTTAGTCAGAAACTGACAATGTATTTATAATTAGCCTTACCATCAGTTACCCTCAACAGAAATGAATGAAGGCGGTCTTTTCTGTTGTCATACTTCAGTTTCCTAGCTGTCCTGTAAAGAGATAAATCACTACATGACTTAAGAAATTATTGAAGTGACAAACTTTTACGTCTTTCAATCGATCCTCGTGTTAAAAATGTCTTGTTTGCGGCTTTGTATCTCGATTATTACAGAAAACACACCTTCTTGTGTTTCGTAATTTAATTTTAACAGCGCTTTTCAATCAAAATTTTTGCTGCAGTTATTTCGGTTTTATAGAGTTGATCCCATGATGTTAATTTTTCCCTTCTCGAGAGAGAGCAGGAAGGATCGATTTAAAAAGAAAATAACTGGATAAAACGTACGTCACATCCCAAGGATCAATATCCAGGAAAAAAACCGTCAGTCTGTCAACTCCCTCTAAACCAAAAATTAGTGGGCCTTCTTTTTTGTCATTTGACGCTAAATTTTGGGTTTCCTCTCCTTGCGTGTCTCACTTACCTACCCTCGAGTACTGTCAACGTGAACAATTTTCAATTTCCGTTCGTAATCGGGTCACACCGGGACATGTAACGCTCACTGTAAAGATTAATGTGTGAAATTTATTGCTTGTTTCACTGTGGCTTTCGAATCCCCACACTCATGCACGAGTTAAGAGCTATTAAATACCGTGTGTACAACGCCGGTTCATTCTTGCCCTGCTTAACGAATGGATTCAATCAAAATAGCGTATCCAGCGCAATACACAATCTCGGCGCCAACACTTCGCGCGGATATGAACACCACAAATCCGTCACACTTGATTAAACCTTCGTCATCTTGTGCGGTATTCGCTCTAAATGCAGTGACTCGCTCGGTCGAACTTAACACATTGCAGTTAGAAAATAGGTTGATTTAGCACAAATCTCAGCTACATCTTGCGTGCTTAGAAGTCGGCAAAGCAAAGCATGTGTATGTTAGACAAAGCAGTGAATTAGACCGGTTCGCTTGGCGCCCCATTGGCGCCGAAGCTCAGAAGTCATATAAATAGCATGTAACACTAGCTCTGGCTTTCAAAGTGTACTTTCTCTAGGAGAAAAAGTCACCGCTCGCTGGAGCTCGCTGAACAAATAAATCTCCGACGAGGTGAGTAGCTTTTGTTTTACTTGAGCAAAATCTAATCGGATTACCTTGCGCCTCGGTGGTTTGTGGTGAGGTTTTTTGCGTGTTCATCTGAGCAATTTCTATACTGCAAGGCAGCAAAGGTCTCTGACTATCCAACGAACCGCAGCATTGAGCAGTAACGAGTTCCTGCCAGATTTCTGTACACACTAATTTGAACGAACAAGCTCCCTGTAGCGCTGAAAGATAGATTTTGACTTCGTTTTATCACGCTGATCAATGAAAATTGCTGTATCTGCGCTATCACAACGGGAGGTTGATGAGTTTATCTCGATAAGGATGCAGCTTCGCTCAACGAAACAACAAACTGATTTCTGTAAATACCTACACATCACTCTCGGAGAATATTAATAAAACCCACCCGCCTTATCGTTAAGTGCTGTCGATAATCCAATATCTAAGTTCCGTTTCTTGAATTGGTCGACTTTTCAAACTCGTATCTAACTGATAGTTTATGTAGTTTGTAAGAGACTGTGATTTTATTACGAGCCAAGGTGATCACAGCTTTGAATCAAACTACGTTCGAATTCTTTCCTTGGTAAATTTTCGGTTTCTGAAAAAACATTTCTCTAGAAACACCTTACAATTTCGAGGTTAAAAAACAGATGTTTCAATACGAAATTTGCCAAAAGCCTATTATCAAACCATTAGAAATGTGTGAGACTTGATGGCTTGCTTCATCACTTATGCATAGATTATTCACACACTGGACAAAAGGGTTGCCATTATAAAATTACGTTCATTTTTATTCAAACAGCTTTTTTACCTCACTTATTCAGGCAGATGCTTCACGCAAATATTGAAAAACCACGCTCAGTTAATTGCGAGAAGCTTTTGAGATTCAGTTGTGACAACCAACCAGTTCACGTTGAAAATATATTGGCCCTATGTTGCTAAACTTAGACGGGAAAATGTTTCGGTTTTCGATTGAGCAATTATCTGTTACCCCGTTTGCTACAAGTTACTTAGGTCGTTATTATTAGCCGTATTATCTTTTGCCATTGATATGCGGATAACTTGTGTCGCTAAGCCATTATACAAGTACACTGACAACACAGAATTGACCAAAACTAAGCGGGGTTCTGACAGCGACTCATTCGTCTTCCTAAAAACTTAAAATGCGTTTGCGAAGATTCAATTAGTCGCGAAATGAGAGTGGATAGCCAAAGTTATCAAAAATTAATGGATCGACAAAACCCGTGAATGAGAGGCATAATAGCTCACAACCTATCAAATCGGCTCCTAAGAAAGGTTTGCTTTCATAACTTTTGCCAATGAAGTGGGAGGGAAATGTTCTCACTTGTGACAATCATATCAGCACACGTTTGTGCAAATATCGAGAAATATTTATCCTTCTCTCCCTTTGAATAAACAATTATTACCATCAAATCACCGAGTTATTGAATTTTAAGCTAAAAGGGTGGGAAATCAGAACAGACGACACGAGATGAATTATTTAGCGCGCTTATTTGGCAATAAATTTTAAGCTGCAAACCAGTGCATTTTCCACCATGTGGTCGGGTTAAAGGTGCGATGCGATTCGCGAAAACAGCAAACAGGAGAAAAATATCGTCAACGAGAGTCGCATCCTTGTTTCAAGCCCGTTTACATCAAACCGAGAGAAACATTACAATCCTGGTAGGTAAAAATTCATATCTTTCAGTATCAAGCGTAGATCCAAAAGCGTGATAATTATGCAATTATCGATTTTAGATAGAGTGATTGATAAGTTGAGCAAGGCTTTAGTTCTCTGACGTGAGACACATCAGCTGAGGCAAGTACTGTATGACCGAGGAACGTGGCTTGCTATATCGAGAGCCCGTTGGCATTTCCGGCACCGGACCACGATCACATCCCTTTAACCTAATTTCGAGAGAGTGAACTCTCTAGATTTGATCTGTGGTAAAGCTAGAGGGGATTTGTTTTTGGTTGCGTTGCGCAGAATAAATAAACTTCTGGTACTGGAACTAAGACACACTCTGCACAAACTGTAACTGTTGAGGAGGTTATCATAGTGTTGAGAAATCAAAGACACCGACAACCGACTCCACGTCGCCACCCTGACCCCTGAAGAATTTTCCCATTAAGCCAAAAATGCTATTTTACACCGCTACTTTAGCTAGTTCGAGAGCAGTTGACGGGCCAGCTTTCAGAGGTAGCCTAGCGGACTCGTGGGCACAAGATAATCTTGCGAAAAAAGCTTCTTAGCTCTCGACCAAACTGCCATACTACGCCCTTGCTACGCATTCGTGAGCGCGTTTATAAATTAAAAACTGTTGTAGTCACAGAACAATAGAGCGAAGTGTTCCGGGTCATTCGGCCCTAAAATTTAACCAAATTGAAAAGATAACAGAATCACTGGTTTTAGAAACATCTATTATTCTAGAGCGGCTTCAGCACGCGTCAATGTCCCTGTTTCTAGAGGGAATGTCTCGTCTTCAACGGTGTTGAACCGAAAACACCTCTTAATTAAAGTTCGTTGAGTATCTGTTCTCCGCTGTGCTTTCTTGAGCTCGCTCTAGGTATCCTAGCTTTGTCCCCAGTATGGCGATTAGGAAACATGCAAACTTGTTGTAATTTTTATCGAATTATACACAATAGGTTTTTTTGAATTTTAGCGCAAACAGATCACGCAATAGCGTGTATCCACCGGATGGCAACGAAAAGCGGGTTTTCGATAGTGCGACATCGAGGAACTAGCAACGTATACCGTATCTGTAATTACTACTTCCTTCATTTGTAGTTAGGAATCTTAATTTAAGTGAATTTACCTACTTAGGAAACAAAGGATTATTTGCTCTCACATTTTTTTTTCCAAATGACAAAGGAACATCCTGTTGAACAAACAACTTTGCTTTTCTCAACAAAAGTTCAAGAGTTTTTGCGAGTTCCTTCGATGAGAGAAATGTATCTTATCCCCTTAAGAGAGCCTCGCATTTAAGGCATTTAGGACTGAATTGGCTTGCTTTACATGTCTTGTATAAAGTAATCCTTCTTCGAGAGGCGTTTAGAAACGCGGTGAAGTAGGTCTAATTCAAGTGTCTAGGAGACCGATTGTCAATCACGAAATCTCTTAAAGAGAAATCCGGTTCTCATGTACGCCATTAACCACCTTAAGTCGGTCCGCTTTGTAATTTTCAACCCCTCTGAGGCGAAATGATGAGTTTTAAGGACTAGTAAATTGGTTATCACTGATAAGGCATTTTACATGCCCACAACGAGATCACAAGAACTAAATTTGCATTTAGAAAATGATCGTAAAACAGGCGTTTACCGCACGAAAACACGAAGAAGTTCCTATTTATGATAGAGCAACAGCAACAACATGAATTTCATTGCAAAATTTCGTCTTTTAACGTTAAATTTTAACGTTTCTCAGTGATTTGTGTTGTAAGATATATCCGGCCCAATATTATCTTATTAAACGCCTTCTCCGTTTTACAAGTTGCTCCAGCTCCTCTGTCATTGTTATGGAAATTTTGCGCGTCAATGGAGCGCGCGACGCAGATTTATCGCTCGGTTTTTTGTGTTTCTCTTAGTTTTTGTTAGGTTAACCTTTTGTTGGTTTTTTCGTGCAGATAAGGGTTCTGTTTTGGTGTGCGAGATTTGTTGGTTGAGTTAAGAGTTTTGTCGACCAATATCAATATTGAGTAATGGGAGACTAGATTAGTTTCTTTCTAAGCTAAAATCGAATTTCTGCACGCAGACATAGAAACGGAGTTCTTGACATCGATCTATTTTTAATCGCAATATATGGTTTCGGACCGACTCAATATCAGAGAATGGATATTTGGTTTAGATTAACAACATAAAACATGTAGCTTAAAAAGTCATTGCAACCGATTATTTCCTCGATACTGAAACCAAGCTAAAGATAGAAACAGACGAAAATGGAATAGAATGGAAGAATTTCCTGTTTGGTTACTTTTGGTTTACTAAGGCAATCCTATTTCAAGTATTAGAAACTGGCCTAACCAGATCAAACGCCTAAGGAAAACCCACGAAAATGCAAGCTGCTTAGCTGCCTTATGCGGTAAACTGGATTTCAACAGTTTGAGTTGAAATAAACCATGCTTCACTGTTCACTTGTGTGGTATAAATTCTGTTTAGTGTCTGTTCTCGATTGCTGTCACAATTATCGACTTGCGAACACGTTGATGGATCTTTCTAACACTTAGTTTACCCCACTAACGGAAAGAGAAAACAGTAGCCAGAAATTTTTCTGAAATGTTTTAATCATCGGTCTAATTTTCGCACTCGCCTTACGATGTCGTATTATTTAATCAGAATAATTCTCTTGATGGTTTGTAAATGTGTTTTGAAGCTGTTTCGCCGCAATTTTTAGTGCACTTCTTTGTATGAATTCTTGTGGTCGTGCTTCATTGCAACTAGCTCTTTCATATTGTCAGCATATTTCTAATTTCCCTAGACAGCGTTTCCTGTATTTCATTATAAAGAATATCCTGCCCTTTCCAACAGAAGACAGCTAAAGCCCTCCAACATAGCAACAGAAGAAAAATCAAAGCTACCTACCGCATTTGACTGATTTAGTCACAGATGGTTTTTTTTGCCACAAAAATTCCTACATGTACAACGTCTCCAGCTATCCAAAAGCGTTTGATATTCATCTGCGTGCAAGCGATATATCGCACACGTATAAGTTGTCGTGGCGCTATAAAAATATATCACTTTACAACCTTTGTTTTGGCCCAGGAAAGGATCTGTTTTTCCGTGTTTTTACGCAACACGTTTGGTGTCACTATGGACAAGTACAAATTAGCACGTAAGTACGAAAGCGCCGCTATCTCCTTCTCGTCCATAGAGAGTCCGTTGGAACCGTAAACGTTTTGACGTTTTATGAATTTAATCCGAGTTTATCACGATTGAAGCTTTATCAGTTGGCCCTGTTGAGGGCGCTTTTAAAGCCCTTCTGTTCGGTCCCCAGATATAAAATCGATCACGGACATTAAGACTTGTTTTAGCGATCAAATGATACTGTACAAGACCCTTGCACAGTATGAGAGCAAGATACGACAGCCCCCTTCATCTGATAAAACTAAACGCAGTTTCCTGTTTCGAAAACTTTTCAAATTATCACCCTGCTTTTATGGATTTTACACCCGCGAACCGTCGACGTTAAAATGAAACCTTTTGGTTTTCTCTTTTTTTGTGGGCGGCGGCTTTGGGAGGCGAAGAATTTGCTAGGATTAAATTTTCAAAACAGGACGGCGAAATACGTAATAAACAGTTGTGTTTTCAGAAATCAGCAATGCAATCAAGCCCGTTGGCGATTATACAAAAGATTTCATCGCCAACCTGTACAAAGAAAAATAGGAATATTACACTGATAACCCCCGTTACTCTTTAGACTTATCTTTACCAAGCAAAGCGATGCATGTGTGTTTTATGGATTTAGACGCGAGCAATGTGTAAGAATAGATATAACTACACTAGCTATCGTGTCTACATCACGATCTTGGATGAGCGGCCGACCACTCATCTCGTTGTAGTTAAGTGCGAGTGCATAACTAGTGATAAAACTAGACAAGGAACGCTTCACCATGTCTGCGGAGCCTGTTAACCAAGGAACATGCTTCTTGGGGAGTCTGTGTCCAATGTTTTATGGCAAAACTCTGCCTGAGAGCCTTCAAACACCTTTTCCTGGTAAATGTTTTATGTTCTTTAATTTAGATAGTGTCCTAACTGTACAACGGCGCAGGCATTCAGCTAAATTAATCCAGTATGACATAAGAAATCCATCAGTTAGAGTTCCATTTCAGAAAACGGCGGATTTTTTTTGCGTAGCTTCATTTCGGATATATAGAGGACCAAACAGTTTTAATCCTTTAAAATGAAGGAGTGGGAGATTTTTTTTTTTGTCGGTAGGCGAAAGCTGTGTTTAATTGAAAAAACCGCAGTAACAGTAGCAGTTGTGCGAATTTACCGAACATCAATTATGTATGAAAAAGTTATTTCTTCCGCGCATCTAAGTAATTCAATTTTTCGATCTTAATTGTGATAAAATGAATTTACTCATTTTAGGAACGCTTAATTCCTCGTGCGATTTATTAAATGCACTAAATTCTAATACCATCTTAAAAGAACCTACTTTTTCTAAGCGCCGGATAGCTTTCGTGCTCTCAGACCAATTTGTTTTTTCAACAACGAAGCCTCTCATTTGTTGAAATAAATACTCTAATTTCTTTCAAAAACTATTATTCTTTTTCATAAAGGGGTTATCTCTATTTCTTGTTATCCTAAAGAGTTTTAGCTTAAAAAATTTATGACTTATAATGGGAAATAATTGAAATGTTGATAACCTAAGAATACTAGGGGGAATATAGAGGCTATTTTGAGCACTTTTAAGGACATCACGTAAAAAAGAATTTCTTATATTTATTGAAGCATAGCGTGCTTTGGGTCGATTTCATGTTAGTCTCACTACGCACGTGGGATGTTACCATAAACCACACCATCGAAACATTCTGTCTATGATTTGATTGTATTTCGTTCTATCTCCAGGTGGGGCGAGGAAATTTTAATGATTCAGCATTTAGAAGAAAAGAATTTTTTTCCCAGGAGGCCCGAGTTTTTCCGTTATATTACTAGTTATGGATTGCAATATCACTTCGTGAGAGCGATCCCTGCGGTAAACATTGTACATTTGGAACACTCTCACTGTAGAGTGTAAATTGCATGATCGATTCTTTCTTATCAGACCGGTCAAACTTTGTACTGTCTAGGTAATCGGTCGTGATTACAGCGATTATGTTTATTACTTGTTTACGAATTTCTGCTGCTTCATGATTACGAAAGCATAAATATTTTCATTACTACAGATACAAACTCTGCAGGAATCTGACCGACGATTAAAGAAGTGGTTTTAAAACAGGAATTTTTTTGTCAATATTAAATGTCATGGGCCAAAACTACGCTACGCCGGAGGTCGAGGAACGGTTCATGATCCTCGTCTCGAGTTGTCGAGATCTCGTTTAAACAGGCTGCGAACCAGCGTCAAGTTGTCTGTAGAAAGTGATCGCCACGCACGCAAATCATCAACATTGTTGAACGTTTGAAAACTCAGATAACACTGACCAATTATATTGCCATTCTATTCATTCTTCGCGCGAAAGGTCACCACGTACAGACGATAGCGTGGGGCGACTAGTACCGAGATGCGGTAAAGCCATCACACGGCTGACCGGAGCTAAAAAGTGCTTTAAGAGTTCAATTTATTTCCTATCATCCGTAAAGAGGTTTTCGTCTGCAAACATTTACACAGATAACAAGCCTTGAAATACGCAATAAAATCCTTGTGGGGCTTATCTTTGTTATCGGTTTTATCTTGCGGTCACGTTCCACCTGTCCTAACAATGAACTTAACACCGTAGCCAATCAGCGTGCGGCATTGAATAATTAGTTGAAAAGCAAAGCACCCAGGTTGTTTTTCTTTGATCCGTAATGGCGGATATGCCCAACCAGATGAACTCTAGTTGACCAAATAGGTTCGACAAATAGACTCAATGGGACGTTTTCTCGGGACGTCATGGAAAACCACTCAACCATCCCTAATGCGTCTCTCTGAGCCGTTAATTTTAACTCGTCAAATATGAGATTATTTATCGCTTGTAAGAACAGTATATGATGATAATAAATACAGTCAAACACGTTGATTTTACATCGATAACTACCGATCTAAATTTAAATCTGACTTCGAAGAGTAGTGTGCTTTAGTGGTCCACGTCAGAATTTAAATCATACATCGGTGTGTCGAGCATTTTTTTCCTGGCAAAGTTTGCAGAAAGCTCACTATCGCGAAGTCGCGCGTCCATCAACGTAGAACGCGCGTCCGTCACGAGTGTTAGATGCTGAACAGGGCGCACGTGAAACATTGCCGCTAATTTACTGTTTGAAAACTTTACATGGCGTCCAACCGCTTGATTGGCAGCTCACTTTAGCCGAAGAATTGATTGTTTGATTTGTGTACCAATGAAGTTTTGAATGGAAAAGAGAATCTAACAAAATGTCAACGGGCGCGCTATCTGATTGGTTCTTAGCTTGACCTGTCACTCTTAATGTGTATGCAAGCAGGTTTGTTGGCGCCGACCAAGCGGGAGCGAACTTCAACCTGGTTTGCTTACAAAACCTTTCAAATAATGTTTGAATTTAACCAGACACCACATCTCAGCTTGCGCATTGCGGGGTTTAACCCATAAGACTCAACAGTGAGCTATTTACAAAACACCGTCAGGTTCTTGAACGGCTCTCTACGTGTGAAGGACTGGTTTCTCACGAGGTGCGCACAACGGAATTAGACCCTTGGGAGATTTTTTCCCTCTTTTCTTAGACTGTCTTGCGCGTCACGTACAAATCAAGTAGCGCACCATTAATGCCTTACAAAGCTAATGCCACGCACTTTATTTTAACGCCTTATCTGCCCACTCATCATTCCCTACAGCTTCGGAGATCTCCTTTTGTGTGTTAGGGGCCCTGGAGAAATTCCATATCTGTTTGAATAGCTTCTACAGATTTCTAGAGTGTGTTCATCAGATAAGTAGCGTAGGCTTCATTTTACTTGTAAAAAACTGTGAATAGAGACTTCCGTTTGGTGATGCACGCTATTTCTTAACGTCTTGCACCGTTCGCCGAATTTCCCATTGAATATAATGCCTTGACAATGAAATTCCTTTTACCTATTATTTCCTGTAGTTATTGTTACGGGACTTATTAAACCATTGAAATATACGCCTCACTGTCAGTTTTGCGTTCTATTTGCCTTAAGCAACACCTCTGTTCTCTTGAAGGTTTCTCGCGAGTTGGCACTTTGAAGATGGAAGCTGTGACTCCTGAACATAGATGGATTCATCCGACAGTTAGTCAGCAACACGAAAGCGCTCATGCAAGCGAGAGAATGCAGCCATCTGCCCCGAACTGCGCAGCAAACAACATGAATTTGGTTGAGACGAACCAACTTCTTCCACCAGACGAGGTCGACGTTTTCTTTCACCACCTCGACAGTTCGGGAAACGCAACAAATTGGCCGTACGCTTCTGGCGGCCGAAGCTATCGCCCGTCAATGTGCCAAATGGCTGCGCACGGTGCAACAGCTTTTCAAGATCCTCAAAGCCAGTCTGGGCCTCAAGGAAGCTGTAGCCGGGTGTTCTTGCCAACGGCACGCGTTCCTCCCGGTCAGGTTTGTCGTCCTCACTTCCACACGCCGATCCAGTGGATCGAGAGCAAGCCAGCTCCTGGTCTGATGTCGCACGGGTGTTCCACCGCAACTCCACCGTCAGTGTGGTGTTCTTCCTTCCAGCAGGGACATCGACCGAGTCCTGTGCCTGTTTCAATGCCACCTTCGGCGGTTTCAGGCTCCATGTCGTTGTCTCACAGCTCCGCGCACTTGTTCCCTTTCCCTCCTACCCCGCCAAAGGAAAGCTCTGGTGAGAGCGGAGTCATTGGGAGTGAAATTTTCAGCTACGGTAGTGAAGAGAAGACGCGTTTGAAAGCCGGAATGCCGCTTGTATCCCCGAGACCTGACACAACACCTTTCGCAGGTTATCCTTCACAAGCTCTCCCACATTACGTTGGCTCAGAGCTAAATATGTCTTCTTTCGGTCCACTGCCTGGTTTGCCCGGGCTAATGGCGAATAGAAACTTTCCTAGAACGAGAACCAAGAGCCGATCGAATTCAGGTTAGTAAGGATTTAGACCCGAGCAAACAAAAATTAATCGCCAAAATCGAATTATCTCCAAAATGCCACTTTCCCGGCGAGATTAGCGTTACTTCCTTCCACAAAACTGCGGGAGTTGAAGTTTTTCCTCTCCGCAAAATTTCGCTCTAGCCTCTACCTCTTTTAATTATGCCCTTAAATAAATCTAATTACAATGCGGTAATTTTCACAGTTGAAACTTTTCTACTTGCGGCATTCCAGCTTTCAGAGACTCTTTAATAACCATATGATGTATGTACATTTGTCGTTTTCGTATTTATGCTCTGTAGTTCAGATTATGTATGGTAACCACTTCGCAAATTTTTGGTGGACAGTTTCAACAGATTACGGGCCAAACGTCTAAACTCTCGCTACATCTTCCGTTTTCGACTTTCGTGATCGCGTGTAGAATTCCTGATTTTTCACAAAGCGAACGGAGCTTTTGTTGTACGGAACGGCTGTTTGTAAGACAGTTAACAAGTTTTAGCCGATCAAAGAGGACGAGAAGTATTACACTATATGTTGTCTTTAAGGATGACCTTTGGGGAAAGCTGTTTACTCTGAGCAACACGATTCTATCTGATATGGCCAAACGCGCACAAATGTAAAACCTGGTGCAATATTTGTTTTAGTTATCGGTTCATTTTTTAATTTCTCGCGAGTGGTTACCATAGAGGAGGGTAGAAAAACTTCGAAACGCGGAAATTCGTCAAGCTCGACAACTGATCTTGGCTTCTTCGTCTTTCTAAATCAGCCGATGGGCGCGAATGTGTCAACTGTGGGGCTACTTCAACTCCTTTATGGCGGAGAGATGGTGGCGGTCATTACTTGTGCAACGCCTGTGGTTTGTACCATAAAATGAACGGAGCCAGCCGGCCGCTTATTAAACCTAAACGAAGATTGGTGAGTAGCGCGATGTGTTTTCCAGCAAAAAGAAGAGAAAATGGAGACATGAGTTTTTTTTTTTTTTTAATGACAATTTGCGCGCGTCCTAGTCAAAACCTCTTCATTTTGTTGGTAGTAAAATAAGCTAATTTTCAAATTGTCGCATCTCAGATTTGGTGGTCGACATTTTCATGATAGATTTTCAACCGTTGACAGAAGAGAGTGTGAAAATTCTCAAAGCGCTTTCGAAATTAATTGCTAACCAAAAGACGAGGGAAATTTGACGCGTGCAAGCCTATGTGAAATTTTCTGAGGGTTAGAAAATTTTTAATTTTACTTATCTTAGAGTTCTTCATCATGGGAGATTTGATTAAAATTTTAAGGCGATGCGTAATTTGCCAATTAGAGCTTTCGTGTCCTTTTTCACTTATTAAAATCGAGCTCTTTTACGACCAGACTCTGTGTAAAGTACATCAAACGCGTAACTGCAACTTGTCAACGCCTTTAATGGAACCCTTGACAAGATGCCTCAAGACAAGGCTTACAGCCTCGGAGTTTTTTTACCACGCTTCAGCAAATGGGTTTCCTCACAGCTTCCATTTCATACTTTCATGGATTGTGAATTTTTCTATTCTAACTATAAATTGCGTTTTTTTTGTTTCGAACAGTCGGCAGCCCGCAGAGCTGGAACATCGTGTGCTAATTGCCATACTACTCAAACGACGTTGTGGCGACGAAACCAAAATGGGGATCCTGTCTGTAACGCTTGTGGACTTTACTGGAAATTACACGCGGTAAGTTGAAAATCGCGCGCGTGTGTTCACGCGGCTAGGGAACACTTTACACGTCTCGTGTTTGAGAAAAAGGGATTTCTTGTGGAAAAGAAAAGCGTCGAGATGGACGTAATAAGCATAAAAGATAAGATGTCCCTGATAACCGCAGGCTGCTTGATTCTGTTTATCACACACACCATCAGAAATTCATTTATCCTTAATGGCTTAGAAACGATAAACAAACAGAATTTAAGAACGTCAAGAAAAGCGAATTTCCTTCGGTTTAGATAAGAAAGTTCCGAGTGCAATCGTTCAAATTTTCGATTTCAATTAATTTTTTTTCTTCATCTATGCCAGCCGTTTGCGTTTGGGGAAGTAAAATTCTAAATGGTAATGCAAATTTGTCTCTCGAACCAATTGTATGCCTCTCTCTCTCTGTCTCTCCTCTCTCCGTGGAGTATTCGATGAGACAGTGCCCAGCTGTTGCAGAAGCCGTTATGTGGGATGATTATATTTTATTACAAAGCTCATCAATTAGTCTTTAGCAAAGTTGGGGTAATTTCATCTCAATATCCGGTTGAGTTATTTTGAGTAAAAGCTTAATGTGTGGTGCATTTTTGGCTTCCGATCCTTTTTTTTATTATTATTTTCTGGCAAGCTTGTAAATGTTTTAACATGTCCGATGAAGTTTGTTTGGTTCCGTGTGCCAGAAGTATTTCACATGGCTAGCTCCAAGCAAATAGAGGGGCTTTTTTTTGTTTTGCATTGTGTACATTCGTAATTTCACAAAAACACGGCTGCGACACCTTTTCAATGGTTTAAAGCTGGACTTTCCATGCTAATCAATCTTAATGTATTAATCTTTAATGACTTGTGTGTCCGTTAAACACCAGAAAACTCATATTTCCTGCGTTAATTTAATTGTCAGAACAGAAGCCTTCTGGTAGAGGGAGACCCTTTGTTTTTCTGCCTAAAGTTTGAACTCAAAAGATCAAGTTGTCTCTTATATCGAATTAATAGCTTCCTTTTCATACGCTAAGGCGAATTGGATTCGGTTCTATTTCCTGTGCATTTCGCGGATAATGAGAGTTTAATATTTGTTATGTTATCTGGCTTTCATAGAAACAAATGTCTAAAATTTTAAGCTTTCAAATAAACGCCAACTCTGTAATTGTGGTTTCAAAAAATACTTTTGTGTGATTGTTTATTAGGTAATCAAACTCGCTTCCTTAAATTTTTTGTACTGTGGTGAGCCTTTTTTTATTTCTCGCGTTGTCCTAACATATAATGAGTTACTTGCATGAATTTTTAATTGGCGAAATTGTACTGTTCTTTATCACCCGTTTGAGAGTTGATTTCAGAGTACACGAACGCTTTAACAGCGACCCGCTCCATTTGGAAGCTCGACATCTATTCTCTAATGTAAAATCGTGATTTAGAATCTCGCTTTAATACTCTGAAAAGTAAAACGGTTCTTCTATGGTCAACCTAAGATGCTTGGTATTTTAAACCAAAGACCACCTGCCTACCTCCTTTTGTATTTTGTTTAAATCGCCGCGGTAAATGCAGTCTGAAAACGTATGGCTTGCCATGTCAAGAAAAAAGGCTTCTTTGTTTCACAAGAGCGCGGCCTACGACATGAAAGAAAGAAATTCAGTGAATTACAATCGGTTGCCTCGAAACGATTTGAACTCTAGACGATTCTTTTCGGCACATTTTCCGTTCTTCTTGCTGTTTTAGCGATTGTCATGTAATATTCCGTTTTACTAAAAAAAAAAAAGCGCATTCACAAACAAAAGAGCAGGAAAAAAAAGAAAATTGCCAGCAAGCGGGAAATGACCATTGATACTAGCGCGTGTTTAAACCTACAAATTTCGCCTATTGAAAGCAAATTAAGTTGTTGGGTGTAAACGTCAGGAAAATAAGGCAGATTAAAGAAATCTTTACCGCAATTGAAGTTTGATGAAAAACGAGACTTTACGCTGTCAGGCTTTTGAATTTTTTTCTGTTCTCCACTTCATACTCTAATCCAATTTCCGTTCCTAATGGATGAGAATATAGAGTGCTTTCACAGGCTTTCACAAGTCACGACAGTTATCCGATTTTGCATGTAGGGTTTTCATTACGTTCTTTTTTCCCTCGAGATATTTTTCATTGATCTCGCTTGGTCGAGCAGAATTTCGATCACCGATTCTTAAGCTTGTTCATATTTAACGTAATTTTCGGCTCTAAGCATCGTGTCGTTGAGATCTTTCGAGGTTAAACACTATAGGCTAAATCGCGGGTGATAATTAATTTAACATATTGTGGATCGTTCCCAAAGTCAAATTTCTTGGGAATAGTTGACACAAGGGATTAGTGGTCGTTCATCTTCATTCTGTAATTACTCGGAAATTAGGGAATAATTTTTGTATTTCTTTCCTTTGGAAGGTGAACCGCCCGCTCTCGATGAAGAAAGACGGTATACAAACAAGGAACAGAAAAGTTTCTTCCAAAAACAAGAACAAGTCCAAGGGAGTGAAACAAGAACAGAAACACGGCAGCGAAGACAAGCTTATGAGTCATGGCAGAGACTCCATGCCAAGCATCAGTCAAGGGAGTTCGGCATCTTCCATGATAAGTCCTGTCATAAGTCCTACGATTCATACACCGACGGCATTTTCAAGGCCATCCATGACAGGAATTCCGACGCTTCACCCAGGTCTTTATGGACCGCTTATTCCGACTGCTACCACCAATCCGTCAAGTTATTTATCAGCACCTCCGTCTGTATCGATAAACGCTTCGTAGGACATTACGGAAAGACTTAGCAGATTCTTTAAAGGGACCTTTAAACGTTTGAAGCGAGAATAACATTTGGAACTGACTAGCAAGCCCGCTTCAGAGGAAAACTTTTTAACCGTTATTTGGTCGGCACGCCCGCTAGTCCGTTCCAAGTTATAATACAAACTCTCACCTATATCTTAACATAAATCAATCAGTGAACTTTCGTCCACGTAAAGGCCGAGGGAAAAAGAAAAGGAGAAACAGGTACAATTTAAGTTGAAACGAAGCGTACCTTAGCCGAAATATGCTCTGTCTTGGGTTTCAATTCACGCGCTGGAATAGCCTCGCGAGAATTTAAGGAACTGAAAAGTTGCTTCGCAAACGATCTTGAAAGGAGAACCGCTTGTACAAAATGCAATGATATTCTTGATGATATTCTTTTTAGGGTTATGGACAGTTTAAATATTGTACAAGGCTTTGATAAGATTAGGTGTTAGGATGGAGAATTTTAACTTTCTTACAGATAAAGCCGCCCTGCCTCTGCTCACTGAGACGATAAAAGTTCTCATATTTGATTTCATGATATTTGTGTATAATTAAAAGCTTTATCGAATACTCGTATATCGCTCCTTGTCTCAAGGTTCGAAAAATCTGTGAGATATGAGACCGTATCGCCCCAAAGAGAAGATATTCGTTGTAAATATTAAACTCGAGAAAATACTGAATGAATTCATGCAGGTTGTGTTATCAGGCGGTACTGATGTCTTCCATAGGCTATTCTGTTTATCGTCAAGAAAGATTCTGTGATATCTTAACTTGATGTTAAGTTCTTTTTATCGTATCGTAGTTCTTTATTAGTATAATAGTTTTTAGTTGAATTACAAAATTTCCAGTTATTTCCAAGTCTTCTTTACCTTAACCTGTATGAATATCTTTTACTCTGTGAATCGTATTAAGACGATAAAGAAAAACATTAAAATATTATATATATCTATATAAATATATGAACATTCAAGATGAAAACAAGGGAGAAAGAAGAAGAATAAAGCAAAATGTCCACAGAAAAATGTCTGAGGTTACTGCTTTTATTTTGTGGTAACTTAATTACTGAAAACCGTGTTTTGGTTTTTAAGGATGAAACGTCAGCCGAAAACTGAAAACTCTTTCAGAAATCAAAGCGTGCTCGTCATGATATCTTCAACTAGATTGTGCTTTTAGCAGAAACGGAAACAAAACCAAACTCAAGGTGTAAATTAGCCCTAATATTTCTAATTAGAACGTTGAAAATCTCTTGACATAAACCATGTCAAATGTACGTGTGTATCACTAATTTCTTCTGTGTTCGAACTGCGGGCAACTTAAAAAGATTGGGGAAGTGAAAAGTCAGTGGCATGTTATTAAGCTATCCCAATCGACTTGTTCCTTTTAACAGCTTCGAGGTTTTATTCTTAATAATGGTCTAACTGGCGATATAAACAGAAGCTATAATCACCTTTAAACGAGAAATAAATTGTAATTTTAATTACTGTGCGGCAGTTGAATTTCTGTGATGCGACAATTGTGCTGGAGACGAATCTGACTTTCTTTTCTTCTCAATTCAAAGCCAATATCTTCTTTGTCAGTTATCAAATGAGGTAATTCAAAATATGATTTCAACAAATTTTCTAACCATGTTTAGAAATATATATATATTTTTTTAATTCGCAAATACTAGCTCGTCCCTTTGAAATATGTTTTCCCTCGAAACACAAAATTTGGTGCTAGTCTCACCACTAACCATAAAACAAAACACTCTATTTCATGTCAAATCCCTTTAACATTGAAATGTTTTGATAAAATTTCCTCTCCTTTTCACAAAATGGAAACCAAAAAGGGGTTAGTCCACAAACAGATTATAAAATAAATATGGTTTCGTGCGGGAAAGACATACCGAGCATCCTTTTTACCCAAAAGGCCACGAGAGAGGGCAAGTCCTTAGACACGAAGACGACATTCTGTGATAAAAAACGGCCGCGCCTCTCGATTTCGCGCAGCAAAATAGCCGACCTCTTAGATCTGTGACTTCTTTATTCAGAGAAAAGCTGTCGTGTGGCAAGAAAGGCACAGGTTTTTGTCGAACTTTTCGGTGCTCGAATAGAATTCACAATGACAACGACAAGTGATTTCATTCAGTCAAACTGGTAGATTTTGTTTTTCGTTCGCCTCGAGAAACTCCTTGATGCAACATTAATTATTTAAGGAAATGAAAAAAAATCTGTATTCTGAAGAACAAAATGTTACTGAGTACTAAGAAGGGAAATAACAAATTTTCCATTTCTGAAAATCTAAAAAAGGGATCTCGCTCAGTTTTCACGAATGTAAGGTACTGTGTAATGTACTGTGACACACAAATGGTACATATTTAGCACAAGAAGTCGGAAAGTCGCTTAATCTTTCGGAATATGTCAAAATCCCTGCCCACGAACCCGATGGAATCTTAATCCTCGATGCGAAGACTGAAGTGTGTATAGGCAAGAACAGAGGACAACTTATTGAAGCCAAAACAGTATTTACACAGTCAAATTTATTTCATTTTATCAACGACATGAGCACTATTTTTTGGATTGACACTTTCGTGGATCGCTATCGCGGAGTCAGAACACTGAACTGTACCTTGCCGTTTATTTTTGTTGAGCGGAATAAAACGAAATAAATCTATTTTCGTTTACGTGAACAAGAATTAAGATGAGATTTTGGAAGGTCTGTGAATCTTGCATGTCGATCGTAGATGAACTGGAATTAAAAACGATAAAGTAGTAGGCCCGATTCGTATTTCTTTTTGAAGTACTTTCTGTGATATGGTTTTATCGAACTGATATAGAGTGTGTTATGGTAAATTTCTTTTTTCAAACCTGCCAAATCTTTCTTAATGTTCAGCATTCGCGATGAAGTGATTAGATTGTTCACGATTTAGAGGAGAGTAAAGAAAAATTTTTATTTACACTTATTAAATTTCAGAGTAGGAATATATCTCGTAAAATTTATGCACCGAAGAATTTTGTTTCTTTGGATCCACTGGCTTCATAGTTATTCCATGTTTCACTGCAAAAAAAATATATTGTATTAAGACTCGTCTAAGAAGAATGGACAGATATTGAGATAAAAATTCACGCTTCCAAGCTTTTTGGAAGCTTATAGTTTCATTTCTTGTACAAAAGCTTTCGATAGCGGCTATAAAAAGTATTGATTGTCAGGTCGGAACCGCTCTCGGCTTGTACCCCATTTACTGGCTTATCAGTGCGCCCATCGCCTCATGAATGGCAGTCGGGATGGAAGTAAAACTGACGTATTGTCAACAGCACGCGCGCGCGGTGCGCCAATACGCGTGCAGTTAATGAAATCGATTCACACGCGATATGCTTAAGATTCGCACGATTCGTGTTATCTCCATCAAGATAAGGCCAAACTACGCATTTCCTTCACCTGTGCTTGCGGGCGAAGTTCGCAAACACTTCTTCAAGTCAAATGAGTTTTTAATTATAAGGTGTAAGTTCTGTTTGTTTTGTAGGTGAGTCTTGGCCAGAGATTTTCAGTGGTATCTCCCAAATAAGTATGAAATAGACGAAGTGCCAAAATTCGATGTTTCTTAGATATGTCAGAACATGTCTGTGATTTTGAATCATAATAGCCTTTTAGCGTCTTTTAGCACTTTGGCTTTTAACGAATTCAAAAGTTTTTTTTCCGCATTAAAATCGGCCGATGTGGCGAGAGTAGCTTCCGATGGGTTTTCTAAGCTCTTCCTATATCTGAAAATACCATTAATCAAGGTGTTATCTTTTAATCAACATCAGGCGAGAAAAAAATACAGCGATAACAGAAATATTAAAGGGAAGACAAATTTAAAATTCAAAGTTGCTGACCGACTTTTTAATTAACTTTAAGCCTTGTTTATTTTCAATTTTTCCTAACTTTCTAACGGGATTAAAAAGAAATTTAAAACCGCCGTGTGACTGCTTACTTTCGAACAAGCCAAAAGAAAAAAATTGCAAGCCTTCGCGGTAAATTTTGATAAAGATTTTGAATTATGCCATTTCTTGAGCACAACTTTAACAAGGAATATAATTTCATAGTATCATCTCCGACCGTTGCAGACGAATCTTGAACTAACTAAGGCTTTGACAATTGCAGCGATCATAGATATATTTTCGCTTTCTATAAATTTGTCAGTGATGCAAGATAACAATTCGAAACGTGCAACAAATTTGATATTCTTCTTTCGAAAACTGAATATTTTCCGTATTTTTGACATTTCCTTGGCACTGATCAACTGATGGGAAATCTAGTTGCAAACATAATTCTTTATATAGCCAGTCTAATTGCGTGTAATTAAATTTAGGTCATATCTTTGTGAGGTAGATTTCAAGTTTTGTGTTTTACTCAGGTTGAAGTTTAAATTTTTCATGTAGAACAAACATTTCATATCTTACTAATAAGAACGCGTCAGCTATAGCCATGGAAAAACTGCATTTTCAAGAGAAAATCGATTTAATAAACCGGAGAGAGTTGAACTAAAATTTTCAGAATTACGAACTGAACATATTCCTCTTCCTACTGGTCGAAAGACATCTCCCCCTTATTTCGGGAGACTGAAAAAATATGTTCATTATTGTTAGAAGGGCCTGAAAGGGGCGTGAGATGCCCCAGTACAGTTTTTGTTCACCTCTTTGTATGACCGAGAAAAATCAAGATTAATTTTTTTCCTAACATTTCTCGCACCACTCTCCAGTGGAGTATTATAAATTCTCAACAAAGTAAACAAATGCAAGCAAGAAACTAAACAAATAAAAAAAGAAGAGCGCAATGAAAAAAAAAAAACAAAACGAAAACAGAACAGCAAAAATTCTACAGGTCAGTTCAATTATCGAACTCTTGGAAGTTTGACTTTTGCTGATGTCTAACTGAGTGTTAAGGGTCATTATTAACTGTTCTAAATCTATAGATTTTCGTTTTCATTAGAATGGTAAGGACCTAAAACCGATTCTGTTACTTGTTAGAAGCTGATAACAATAATACCATAGAATTAATCGAAGGAATTTGATCAACATGAATTTGGGGTTGAAGGTTTCGAATCTAAACACATTCAGGCACCATCCTGATGGAGTGAATTCCTTGATCTCCTCTTCAACTGGATGGGAAATGCTTGAGATTACTAACTGTTAAAACATTCCATCTACGTCTTCATGATCACATTTGATTCCTGCTTAACATGTGCGAGGCAAGACTCTCTGGCAAAAGGGAGAGAAAAAGGTCTGGTCGTGTAGCTCTGGTGGAAGCATGATGAATAGCTTTGCGTTTAAGAACCCGCTACTCTCTCACTGCGCCTCTCTCAACCCAGTTATATAAGCGACAACAGTTAAATCGCCATGAAAGCCAACAAGAAATTTTGATCGAGGGGAAGGGGGAAGTGGAGTAGGGAGAGGTTAAGAGGGTGTGGCCACCGGCCAAGAACACCCTCTCTCGCGCTCTAATCCACGTGGCTTCTAAAATGGCTCAACCTCGACTCTGTGTAGTTAAAAAAAGGAACCAAGCATTCATGTTCTTCTTCACACAGGAACTAAACTTGATGATCGCTTTTTGCTGCAACGACGAAGACAAACCCGATGAGAACGAAAGCAAAGAGGCCGATGAAGACGCTGTATAAGATGATGATAATGACAATCATAAGGAGATCTAGATCACGACGATGACGAAAACGTTAACGATGATGATGGTGAAGATCATGACAATTGTATTTCAACAATGTTTTGGCAAACTCTTTTAGGTTTAACCAGAATATATGAGTGACAGATTCGGTAAAGGAGTTATCCATTTGAAAAGTGTTTTCAGTAATGCTTAAACATTTGTGATTTGCGATGTGATGCTTTAAAAACCCTCACACCCTAACATTAGTATACATATTCTCCAAAGTGTTCTCTAGACATTTGCTAAGGTGCTGACAAGGAGAATTTGTTTAACACTAAGAGCCTCTTTAGTTGTTGATCATTTCATTTATTCTCCTGACCTTAACGTCTGATTTAGGGGTGGTATTGTGGGGAGAAATTACATGCAAAGTTTGGGCCAAAGGGCCAGCAACATATATTTTGTAATGGAAGTTTAATGTTAAGCCGGCTGTACCACTGTGACGTTAGTCGATCCCCATACCTTATAGCTGCGAAAAATCTCGTATTTCTGTTGTTACCTTCATTTTTTTCTTGCCCGAAAAAGAACAAAAGAGTCGACCAACATACTTCTTAACAGAGATGAGGATTAAAAGTAACAATCCAACCTTATCTCACACGCGTGTAATACGCGCGTATTTCGTGCGCACGAAACACCGTTCATCCGCTAAATTGTGCACCTTTCTCTCTTAGGTTAAATTTTATAAACCTTCTGAGAAATCACCGAGATTATTTTCAACAATTTTTCAACAGTAACGCCTAATTACGTGGAAGACATTTACCATCTTGAGGATCTATCTAAAAGGAGGAGAAAAACTG